CACGTTCTGCATGGAGCACTGGGTGTTATATGCAAACAATGAATCATGGAACACTACATAAAAAACTAATGATATAATGTATGGTGATTAAAATAACATAATAATAAAAAAATAAATAAATCATTTCCAGAGTTCCAAAACAAAACAAAACAACTCAGTGTTTTTCCAAAAAAAAAACAAAAAACAAAAAAAAACCACTCTTTTGAGAAGTGTCTGTTCATGTCTTCTGCCCATTTTTTGACTTATTTGTTTTTTGGGTGTTGAGTTTGAGAAGTTCTTTATAGATCTTGGAAATCAGTGCTTTGTCTATATAGTGTCATTTGCAAATATCTTCTCCCATTCTGTGTGTTGCCTCTTGTTTTGTTGACTATTTCCTTTGCTGTGCAGAAGCTTTTATCTTGATGAAGTCCCAAAAGTTCATTTTTGCTTTTGTTTATTTTTTAAAAAGAAAACTGACCCATCTCCCCCCCACCCCCCCTTCTTCTTCTTATTAGGCTTGGATTCCTGGATCATCTGGTGACTTCAAGTATCTGGTAAGACATTTTATTGATGTAGTATTATCAATATTTTTGTTTTATTTGCCAAAAATATTTGGAGGATGTGTTTGTTTTTGCTTTTGTTATTTTCCTCTCTCAGGCTTAATCCTTTTTCTTAATTCTCCCCTCATTTCCATCATCTGTGGTTGAATCTCAGAAGGCAAATAGAAGGTCAGTTACATCTTAGCACATGTAAAATGATAGATAAGTCCAGATACTACTTCCAGATTCAACAACTTCATGGGTCAGGAAATTATTCCAAAGAGTGGTAGCATTTGTTTGATAAGGAAACAAAATTTACCGTGAAAAGAATCTGAGATAGAAAAGAGGATTATTCAGGTAAAAGAAAGTATCAATTGGAAAATTTTTCTTTTAATATCAAATGCAACACTTGTATCTTGGATAAAAACCATGGGGGCTGAGTATGATAACTGGATTATAAAAATTGTTTTCATTGCTACATTGGTATTGAAGTTTACATAATATAAAACTAGAAACACACTGAAGCCACTGCTCTTTTCACATGGCAACTCTTAAATTTCTTATGGCATTTGCCTGGTACTTAGACATGGAAAAGATATATTGTTTAATTAAAAAAAAATGAGATGCTAAGGTAGAAGTTTTTTCTATTAAATTGTATTTTTACAAACAACAGCTTTTTATTCATCTTAGAATCTACCCAGTCCTTTTATTTTTCTCCAAATATTATTGAATGTTTGATAACATTCAAATTCATATGTTGGGGTCCTACTATGTTCTGAATCTCTGCAAGATTATACAACATTTTATTTCACATTCTCTTGCTTAATTTTCTAAAGAATACTCCATCTTGGATTTTTATTCTTGTGTAGACTGGAAGTCCCATTTTTTTTTTTAATTTCTAGAGTCACCTTTTCTATAATACCCAGCTGAGAGTAATATGAAATTCCATCTTGACAGATTGCAGGAGTACTATCTTACACATCATTCTATACTAATAACTGGTTATTGCTTGGTTAGAATGGGAGGGTGGTGAGAGTTCAGCACGTCTTTTTGTTGTGCATTACCTCTTGCTCCCAAATACTTTTCATGGATTCTCAACTAGTACCTTCTGACTGCTATCTTCTCATGACTTTTCTGTGCAACTTCAGGATATCCCAGTCTATACCTCCTGCCAAATAGTAGCAGAGTAAACTGTCATATTTAAAAACTGCTACTGAAGACTTAAGGTTAAGTTAACAGAATAAGAGCACAAAAAATGGAAACTTAAACTTGTATCAGGTCTTACTGCTTCTGAAACCACTGTATACGCATCCCCAAAGGGAAAGGCATTCTCAGTATTTTCTTCAGTATCAATGCTCCAGTGTATTTTGCAGACCCACATCCCTTCCAGCAGAATCCACTTTGGAGTTCCTTATATTTGAGTCCAGCCATTTAAGTGTAAAATAGATTAACATTATAATAGTCTGGTAGAATTTTACATAGCCTACAAAGGAGACCCAGTTCTCTTTATCGTGCAGATTTTTCCTATGCATGAGTAGGTAGCATTACTTTTGGATAGGGTTATGTTGAAAATGCTTCCAAACAAACTCAGGGTTTCCATATTCAGCCATAAATAAGAGCAACAGAAACTTGAAGTTTGTATTTTTCCTTAACAATTTGTACAACTCCTGATCACATTCTCAGCCACTAGTTATTCTCAGGATGAGAACAAGGATTAGCCTCCCAGCCCTTCAGTACTTTGTGCAAATGAGAAGCTTTGCTTAAGCATTTGTTGGGAAGGAGGAGAGACTTGGTGGGTCTCACAGACAGCAGAAATTTCATGTCCCCATGTCCAGCATTATAAATCCCAGAGTTCCTGAATTTTTTCCAACCTTAAACCTTTTCTTATTTATATTAATGGAATTGGACCTTCCTCTGTAATTATCTTTTATCTTAATTCCACTTTCTTTCCTCATTTAAATTGGCAGTGTGTTCTTGCCAATTCTGATCATCACAACGCATTATCATCTGGGTTTTCTCCTACCTTGTAATTCATCTCATTCCTAATCCATGTCTCAAAAGATAGACCAATGATTCATTCTAAAACAACACTCTCAGACTTATCTCACCGTGTTTCCTATAAGTGTTCCCCCCCACCCCATAATCTGCTGTGTAAGATACAATGGAATTCTGCCACACTTATTGAAAAGCAGTGTTCCTTGAGTACAAACCAGGAAACTCAAAGCTGGTCACATGGCTCAGTTCTTTCCTCTCTCATCCCCCATTGTCACCATTTCTGCTTCTGTGAACAGAGTGATTGTCCCTATCTGCCCATATACCTGCTTTCTGTTCATCCCTCAGTGTGTAGTTCAACTCCCCTTTTCTCCCAGGAGTCTTCATTTTTAAAAATATTATAGTTTGATCTTCCCTCTCTAAACTCTTTATTTTCAGGATCACAAATTTCAGTATTTTCACTTTATAGTGTCATATGCTCTAAGGTTCTTTTGTTATGTATTTTCTACTCAGAAATTTTGCAAGCTTTTAAATGAAGTAACAATGCCATTTTGTGTTGTTTACTATGACTTACCTAACATATTTCTCTGTGTTTCCTAGTTTTCCAAGAAATATTTTCAATTGACTAACTTATTTAGTCTCACCTACACTTATAAAGACCAAACCTAAAATTTAATTTCTACAATTGTTTGCTTCTATCCAATTATGATTTTCAAAGGAAAGTGATATGAACATGGAAGATGATTAATAATATTACCTGAAACAAATTCTGCATCATATGAGTCATTCTAGAAAATTCTTTTTAAGTATAATTCAAAGAAAAGAAAATAAATGTAAAATTCAAATCAGATAGTACTGAAATATAAATGATAATATGCAAACTATTACAGAGTAAATAGATTAAAATATACTCTATTCAATTATGATAACTCTCAAGCTAAAAATAATATTTACTCTGGAACTAAATGTCAGCAATAAGAATTCACTTCAATATAGAAGAACTAACATTGCCTACATTGAAGTTGAAAATATTTACAGAAAATCGTATCACAGCATTTTTTCATTTATATAAGATAATGTGTTTAATTCTTACAATTCACTGAATTTTGCATGTGTGTGTGCAATTGCAGCAATCTCTTCCAATTCATAAATTTTATTTTCTGCACCTGGAGTTTGGACCTTTTAAGAGGTCAGAATAATAACATATGTACAATTATGTATGGTTGAAGGGAATTCATATTTTTAAACATTCATTGTAAATCAGGTGTTAGGCTAGGTGCTTTTTCTATGTAGCCTCATTTCAACCTTTCAGTCATACATTTTGGCCATCATTTTAGAGCTAAGAATACTAAGGGTTAGCAAGGTTAATTATTTCACGGGTAATCATTTAGTAAATTAAGATACTGAGATTTCAATTTATTCCTAGGATTCCAAAGACTCCACTGATACGCCTTCCCAAAGAAAGCTTATCCCAGTAAGCTTTTAATAAAACCTAATTCTACATGTATTGGAGGAATAATCCTGATCTGTAGTCTTTAGAAAGTTGATACATAAGTGGTTAAAAAGAGATTTAATCTTTGTACTTGCACAGTTATTTGAGAAGATGAAAAGCTTGCTTATTTTAAGTCCAAGGGGGAAAAATTGTTACAGACTGTGCCCAAATTGTGTGTGTGCATATGTGTGTGTGTATCTTTTATATCATATATATGATAGAAATCTATCATATAATATATATGATAGAAATCTATCATATATATGTACATGTATATGATAGAAATATGCATATATATACCTGTGTCATTAATAACAAAAGCAGAATCTATGGAAACCTACATGATCTTTCTGTATTTGGACAATGGTGATTAATGGTTACTTTATTCTCTCATTCATGTTCTCAGGTTTTAATGCAAATTTTATGTAAATTTGGCCATCCTGAATTTTTTTTTTTTTAACAGTATTACAGGCAACCTGCAAATAACACTCATGTGCTTAGCATTAGTCATGGAATTTCTTTGAAGTAATATAAATTATTCAACTGGAGTACTGCATCTTCCAGGAATTGAGTGCTGTCTTCAATATAGAGGGTTTAAAAATATTTCTTGGACATATGCCAAAATATCTTGATCATGTAAAGTACCCCCACCCCTTGAAAATTAAATGTCTGGTGTTAAAATAGTGTATGTTTGGTGAGTTTCTTAGGTTATATGTGAAAACTGAAGGGAACAAACCACACACATATGTCTACTCATAGGTTTGAATTAGTATATCAAAATACTCTGGAAATTTTTTTTAAATCCCTATCTGAATTCCAATGACATTATTCAAAGAAATAGAAGACAGTTCTAAAATTCATATAGAATCACAATAGACACCAAATACCCAGAGCACTGTAAATTTTCAAGCAGTATACTGTTACTAAAATTATTTACTATTAGTATGCTATCCTGATGTGAATTTTCATGAAGCGAACAAAAATCATATGGTCAGAGACCAAAGGAAGGATTCATACTCACACCAGTTCATTTCTCCATGCATCCCCTCACAGTTTACTGAGTAACTTATTTATGCAAACAGTCTGTAGAGGTTGGGTGATAGAATAACAATATTACATGACCCTGACTTCAGGGATCATCATTTTATATGTTCTGTATAATTGTGCTGCTTTTACTTATTTTTTTTCTTTTTGAAAACTGATATTGTTTAAAATTCTGAGCTTTTGTTTTAGGCCTTGCATTGTTTCCCTTTACCTTGCTGGCGTAGCAGCTTATTGGGACCATGAAGATAGTGTGAGAAATGTTGCTAGTGCACATCAATATCTCGATTTCCTTTCACTCTTGAGCCTGAAGGAGATTATATTTCCACCTTCTAGTTTGGTGGGGTCATGGGGTTACTTCTAGCTAAGGAAAAGTGGGAATGTGCTTTTCTAGCCTCTCTGCTTCTGCACAAGAGGTATCAGCTTGAAATAATGGGGCCATCAGAGTAGATCATCCTGAATCCTTGACTCACCGATGAAAGACAGCTGC